AACCTCGTTTTGGTCTTACAAACGATATCACGTATCTTTATCAGACTCTCTGGCTGATCGGAAGACTAACTAAAGAGTCATATATCAATAAAATACACAAGACCACCAATTCCCTCCAAATGGACACATAGAATATTCTAGATATAAAAGTACCTATAATATACATGTGCATTCAAAACTTAGGTTTTTCAATTTTTTCTAATATTTCTACTTAATCCGAAACTTTTCTCTGCCAAATTAGCAAATTGACTTATTGAGGCATACAAGGGATACTTCGGGAAGAGATACAAGTGGCTGAGCATGCTCCTCTGCTTGAAGTGGGGCTTGAAGTGGGGTATATTAATTTCGGTCTGTCTGTCCGTCCGTCTGTCTCTATTTCTGTCTGTAACTCTTTTATTTCCACGCGATATCTGGAAAAGTAAAATTTTAAAATTTCACAAAATTTTACACAACAATTTCCAAAGGCCTTAAGAAGATTCCTATTGATTTTGAGGTCAGAGATGAAGCTTCAATACAATATCTCAAGAGCCTTTTGCAATGATTTTTTAAACCACAACTACCTACGGCTTGAGAAAGACCTCATACATTCTGTGTGCATTTAAACGTTCATTGCCTAGCGATATCTCAACAAGCATTTCGCAATTAAAATTGATACCACCTTATGACTCTTCCTGCCTTTCTTAAAGTGCCCTCCTTCCTAGATCCTGCGCATGCTTTTCTTTTTTTTTTTTTGTTAAGTGGGAGACACGGGTTTTCTGAATTGGCTTGTCTTTCTTTAAATCAATAATTTAGCTTGTGGAAATCGAGTTTAGAAAGTTGCATTTTTTTTTTTATGTTTAAGAAGTATGATATATTGCAGCTTGGTCAAATACGCAAGTTTTGAGATCACTTTCCTTGATGCGCTCTTTCGTCGCGGAGGTGAGTTTCCTTTTTCGTGTAAACCGGAAAATGGGACAGTTTTCATTCGATACGCTGTGCAAATCGCAATCGCCAACATGCCGGTTTGTCATTGTTGTGTGCCAGAATGCACTTCGTATACATAGAAACAATTAAAATGATCAAAGTACCCTCATCTTAAGGATGTAATTCTTTCTTCATTACCAAAAACATCGGAGAAGAACAAGCCAAACCTATAGATTAAAATAATCCGACGAGAAAAGACATGGACCCCCAGTAAATATACTCTAATATGCTTATTACATTTCGACAGTGAGTGTGACATACCAACGCTTTATTCTTACAACAACTTTGAACAATCATGTACAAAAAGGTTTGTACAATCATCAAAACTTCTTTTTACAACTGAAAGTGAAAGTGATCTGAAAAGTTAGGTTAGATCTTGTGATTTCAAGGATCGTTTTAGAAAGGTTTTGTAAACATATACTGCGTGTTGCTTTTGCTCAATAAAATCATTGTCTGAGATAAGAATCAATTTATTATGTAAAATTCAAGTAAAAACAAATGTAACAGTATCCACTAAAACCAATTCCCTACAGAGAATTACAAAGCACCTTACATAATCGTGGAGATCCCGGTAATGATAATGGTGTCCCTCAATATTTGCAACACTAAATCAATGATTCGGGTAGTTATACACTTGTATATATAAACATAAAAGATGCAAGCAAACATTCGTATTTGTAATGACCTCATGGATTATCCTTCACAACTGATTCTGACCGGTAGGACATATTGCCCTTCTTATATTCTGACCGGTACGACATATTGCCTTCTTATATTTGGACCTGTACGGCATATTGCATTCTTCTACTCTGACTTGTACGACATATTGCCCTTCTTATATTCTGAACGGTACGACATATTGCCCTTTATATATTTTGACCGGCACGACATATTGCCTTCTTATATTGGACTGGAACATCATATTGTCCTTCTTATATTCTTACCGCAGTACGACATATTGCCCTTCTTATATTCTGACCAGTACAATGTCGCCCTTTTTTGTAATAGAAGTCTTAAAACTTATTAAGACTGAGACTTTGCCCTATTAACGTTTTCTGACTGGTAAAATGTTGCCCTTTTTTATTGGAATCCTTTCATATTTCTACCTTCAAAGAATGTCCAGTGTTGTTCTCCTTTGCTTTGCATTGTATTGAAAGAAATCTTAATAATAGGATGATTGAAAAGTTAGCTCTGGCAACAGGGATTAGAGATATTTTTTTTAGTTAGTTCGTCTCAACGAAGTTTAAGTTGTTACAGAGAATAGCTATAAATGTTTAATAAGAAAAACTCAATTTCGGGCGGGGAGCTCATTGCTCACAGGCCCCGTAGGGATCCGGGTTAGAATAGGTCCTCAGTACCCCCTTGCTTGTCGTAAAAGGCGACTAAATGGGGCGGTCCTTCGGATGAAACCGTATAAATTGAGGCCCCATGTCACAGCAGGAGTGGCACGATAAAGATCCCTCCCTGCTCAAAGGCCGTAAGTGCCGAGCATAGGCCTAAATTTGCAGCCCTTCACCGGGAATGGTGACGTCTCCATATCAGTGAAATATTCTGGAGAGGGACGTTAAACAGTATACAATCAATCAATCAATCATTGCTCACAGTACCTCTAGTTTACAGTTAAAAATCGGTTTAAAAACAATGTTCTAGAAGAACATGAACAGTTAGAAAGTTATATTTCATATTTTCGATATGGAGGCACTGTTATTTTGTAGTTAACATTTTTGGAAGCGATATTCGATGCTAAGTTGTAGTCTTCAGCCGAAGAAAAAGACTCTCTGAGGAGATTGTTGCTCTACTGGTTTATTCTCATAACGAATGGAGAGAAGTAACATTTGTACTTGAATCTTTGCAATAGCAAGAAATCAAAATAAAAAAAAATTATCATTGATTATTTTTTCTTGGCAAAGATTTATTGCAATCAAATCAAAACTGTAGGTCGAGTAGGACGAGTAGCATCAAAGAGATATCATTTTTTTTTTTAGTAAATATGGCAACAACGTCTAGCGAAATAAAAAATACGATAAATCGAATTTTGTAACTTTGTCTAGTCTACTTGTATGTCAATTATTTTAATATCCAACTAAAACTTTGGGAGGAGTAGCATTTTGAAAAATATTTCTATTATATTGTTCGTAGACGGACAGACAGCTAACTAGACAAACGGACGATGAGTACCTTACTATTGCATAAGCTCTTCGACTATCCGAGCAAAAAAAAAAAAAAAAGAGAGGAAGAAGCTAAACATTACAGTAAGTTTATTTTCAACTTAAGATGAAAAGAGAATTTATTGAAGGGACAAATAAATTGAATATTACTTGAAACATAACAATAATCAATTACAATTTGTCCATTTATTTGATATACACAATATCCATTGAAAACTGTAACAAATGAATTCAACATATTGCATACCATGATGTATATATATACAGTTATATATAACAATTTCAAAACATTTCGACAAAAGTTGAAAAACACTGGATAATCTAAATATATGTCTGAATATACAATGATACTTCGGCGATTCGCTGTTATAAAAGATACTTAAGTCTGATAATGCGCTCAAGTCTGAGAATTTTCTCAAATCCAAAATTCTCAGATCAGTGGCCGTCGTAAAAAATGAGAAAAATAATATCTTAATCTCTTTTATTCCCAAATTCTCAGCTGAGTAATTCTCAAGAGTTGAGTTGAGAATTCTTTTGAGAATTCTCAACATTTAATGACGGCGGACTCTAGTTTCAATTAGAAAACGTTGCAATAGACTAAAAAATGCTCAAAAAAAGTGTATATACGTTAAAGTAAAATGAATGATATGCATCTTTGTAATTATTCTTATTTTGTGATTTAAAATAAAGAGGCCCATGGGCCACATCGCCCACCTGTGAATCTTTGGCCATGCTGTTCTTTAACAGATCCCCCCCTTGTAATACCAATTGTGACCAAACCCTATCCCCAGGGGTTATGATTTGGACAATTTAGAATCTACACTATCCCAAAATTCACAAAAGTTTCAGCTTTTCTGGTCCAATGGATCTTGAAAAGATTTCCAAAGATTTTTCCATACATATTTTAATGTAAACTTGAATTCCCTATTGTGGCGTCTTCTACCCCCACGGGTTTAGAAAATTTAGAATCTACCCGCAGGATGCTTCCACATAAGGTTTAGCTTTTCTGACCCAATGGTTATTGAGAAGAAGATTTTTAAATATTTTTTTCCTATATACTAGTATTTCTATGTAAAACTTGAATTCCCTATTGTGGCCCCGCCCTACCATGGGGGTCATGATTTTTACTTAGAATCTACACTACCCAAGGATGCATCCACATATGTTTAAGCTTTTCTGGCCAATGGTTCTTAAGAAGATTTTTAAAGTTTTTACCTATAAATCTAAGTGAAATTGGATTACCTATTGTAGCCCGCCCTACCTCGGGGGCCATGATTTTTACAATTAAGAATCTACACTACTCCAAGATGATTTCATATACATTTCAGCTTTTCTTGCCAAATGGTTCTTGAAAAGAAGATTTTTTTAATGACCCCACCTTTTTTTGTATTTTCTTGATTATATCCCCTTGGAAAGAGACTTGGCCTTTGATTTTACCAATTTAAATTTCCCCTTAGAAGTTGAAAATGGGAAAAGTTTACTAACGGACGGACAGACAGAAAGCTAGACAGACAGACGGGCGGACGACGGAAACGGGTGATCAGAAAACCTCACTTGAGCTTTCAGCTCAGGTGAGCTAAAAAGCATTCACACAATTTTGCCTCAACTCTCATATGATACTGTAAACTCATTTTTTAACCAAACAATTGACGTATAACAACCATAATATAAAATATACAATTGACGTACAACAACCATAATATAAAATATAGAAGTATGGAATCAAATAGTGGATTTTTTGTCCTCATGTCAAGGGTAAACAGGTGAACTTAATAATTTGTAGAGAATGGCAGTTTCCACTCAATGCAATTTATAACTAAAATTATTCCACCATTGTAGCATAATTCAAAAGGAGAGTGCAACTAATATCAGGTTATATGCTTTTATTTCAATAATATTTTAATGTACACTATACGGAATTACTTTTTTTCTAATCTTTCATCTTTATTTGATTTACTCAGCAAAATCTTCCTCTCAGCACGTTTTAGGTATTCAAACAAATCTTTGATTCTTTAAAAAGTTATTCAATAGTCAGCGTGCCTTCTTTAGAACCGACACACCCTTTAAGTCTAACATAGACATCTAAACTAAACCCACCATCATATGGTATATGATACCCATTTACTTCATTTACACCAGTTCCTATCCCTAGAAGCTCCTTCACTACCCTCCCCCTATATATCATCCAATATACGCTACTGTCTGTTGAGTATTAATATCACTCTTTTAATTGATATCAGATCCGACGTTTAAAGCTCCTTCACTACACTCATATGTCTACTATTACATGCTGCTATCAAGTGGTGTATTGTACTCTTTGCTGATTGATATCAGCTCTGGCTTTTAGTAGCTTTTTCACTACACTCGTATGTCCACATCAATGGGCTGTTGTCGTTGGTGTTTCTGACTTATCTTGTAGAATGTTATCTGCTCCCGCTTCTAGTAACTCCTTCACTACACTCATATGTCCTCCCTTAGATGCTGCTGTCAGTGGTGTATTAAACTTACCTTGTAGACTGATATTAGCTCCGGCTTCTATAAGCTCCTTCACTACACTCATATGTCCCCCCTCACACGCTGCTATCAGTGGTGTATCATACTCATCTTGTTGATTGATATCAGCTCCGGCTTCTATAAGCTCCTTCACTATACCCATATGTCCACCCTCACATGCTGCTGTCAGTGGTGTATGATACTTACCTTTTTGATTGATATCAGCTCCGGCTTCTATAAGCTCCTTCACTACACTCATATGTCCACCCTTACATGCTGCTGTCAGTGGTGTATACTCACCTTTTTGATTGATATCAGCTCCGGCTTCTATAAGCTCCTTCACTAAACTCATATGTCCACGAATACATACTGCTGTCAGTGGTGTATGATACTTACCTTGTTGATTGATATCAGCCCCAGCTTCTATAGCTTCCTTCACTACACTCATATGTCCACCCTGACATGCTGCTGTCAATGGTGTATCATACTTACCTTTTTGATTGATATCAGATCCGGCTTCTATAACCTCCTTCACTACACTCATATGTCCACCCTGACATGCAGCTGTCAGTGGTGTATGATACTTACCTTTTTGATTGATATCAGATCCGGCTTCTATAAGCTCCTTCACTACACTCTTATGTCTACCCTTACATGCAGCTGTCAGTGGTGTATGATACGTACCTTTAGGATTGATATCAGATCCGGCTTCTATAAGCTCCTTCACTACACTCATATGTCCACCCTTACATGCAGCTGTCAGTGGTGTATGATACGTACCTTTAGGATTGATATCAGATCCGGCTTCTATAAGCTCCTTCACTACACTCATATGTCCCCCCTCACACGCTGCTATCAGTGCAGCTGTCAGTGGTGTATCATACTTACCTTTTTGATTGATATCAGATCCGGCTTCTATAAGCTCCTTCACTACACTCATATGTCCACCCTTACATGCTGCTGTCAGGGGTGTATCAGAACTATCTTGCTGATTGATATCAACTCTGGCTTCTATAAGCTCCTTCACTACACTCATATGTCCACCCTCACATGCTGCTGTCAGGGGTGTATCACAACTATCTTGCTGATTGATATCAGCTCCAGCTTCTATAAGCTCCTTCACTACACTCTTATGTCCTCCCTCACATGCTGCTGTCAGTGGTGTATGAAACTTACCATTTTGATTGATATCAGCTCCGGCTTCTGTAAGCTCCTTCACTATACTCATATGTCCACCATAACATGCAGCTATCAGTGGTTTATCACACTTATCTTTAGGATTGATATCAGCTCTGGCTTCTTTAAGCTCCTTCACTGCACTCATATGTCCACCCCAACATGCTGCTGTCAGTGGTGTATCAAACTTACCTTGTAGATTGATATCAGCTCCTGCTTCTATAAGCTCCTTCACTACACTCATATGTCCACCTTCACATGCTGCAGTCAGCGGTGTATCATACTTACCTTTAGGATTGATATCAGCTCCGGCTTCTATAAGCTCCTTCACTACACTCATATATCCAGCCTGACATGCTGCTGTCAGTGGTGTATTATACTTACCTTTAGGATTGATATCAGCTCCGGCTTGTATAAGCTCCTTCACTACACTCATATATCCACCCTGACATGCTGCAGTCAGCGGTGTATTATACTTACCTTTAGGATCGATATCAGCTCCGGCTTCTATAAGCTCCTTCACTACACTCATAAATCCACCCTCACATGCTGCAGTCAGCGGTGTATTAAACCCATCTTTTTGATTGATATCAGCTCCGGCTTCTATAAGCTCCTTCACTACACTCATATGTCCACCTTCACATGCTGTTGTCAGTGGTGTAGTAAACTCACCTTGTAGATTGATATCAGCTCCGGCTTCTATAAGCTCCTTCACTACACTCATATGTCCACCTTTACATGCTGCTGTCAGTGGTGTAGTAAACTCACCTTGCTGATTGATATCAGCTCCGACTTCTATAAGCTCCTTCAATACACTCATATGTCCACGCTTACATGCTGCTGTCAGTGGTGTATTATACTTACCTTTTTGATTGATACCAGCTCCGGCTTCTATAAGCTCCTTCACTACACTCCTGTGTCCACCCTGCACTGCTGCTGTCAGTGGTGTATGAAACTCACCGTTTTGATTGATATCAGCTCCGGCTTCTATAAGCTCCTTCACTATACTCATATGTCCACGCTTACATGCTGCAGTCAGTGGTGTATCATACTTGCCTTTAGAATTGATATCAGCTCCGGCTTCTATAAGCTCCTTCACTACACTCATATATCCACCCCTACATGCAGCTGTCAGTGGTGTATCAAACCTACGTTGTAAATTGATATCAGCTCCGGCTTCTATAAGCTCCTTCACTACACTCATATGTCCACCTTTACATGCTGCTGTCAGTGGTGTATCATAAAACAAATATTGGGGGTTTTTGATTGTCGTTTTTATATCGACGTACTTGATTAAAATTTTTACAGTCACCAAATCACCACTGTAACAGCTCAATACAAATAAGCGGTCATGTTCAAAAAAGGACCGACTATATTCCTGTTTTTGATATGTTGTATCACAAATGGAGTTTGATAAAGATAATACGTCTGTTGCAATATTTTTTTCAATGTTTTTTTCTCTTTTTTGTTCTTCAGAGATTAGCCTGGGGCTAAAGGAATTCCAAAATAGTTCAATCTTTGTTTCTTTGTGTAATTCAGTTTGTTTTAGAATATATTGTAAAATCTGATTGTGTCCGTAGTAAACCACCCAACTGATAACCCTCAGACAGTATGTTTTTTCTTTATTATCACCATTCTCACTCACCAACACACGCTGTCCATCCCTCTCCCAGTACCTTTTTTCTCTCTTCTCACTATCCTCACTCACACGCTCTTTTTTACTCACTACCTTGGACACGTCTTTCTGTTCGGACAGAAATAAAGACTTCAAATCTGTGTACGACTTTGTCTCTAACACCTCAATAAAAGCCTGACAAACTCTGGGGTGTTTTAAAACATTATTCATGAACACATCATAGAGCTCCATATTTTCTATATCTCTGTAAAAACGCTCAGCTAACATTGGATACTGATCCTCCCTTAACCTAAGGCAGAGCTTTATTGATTCCTGGCTTCTTTCACTACTTAATGTTTCATGCTCCTCACCACTAAACACTACACTTTCAACTTGTTTACATTCAACCTCCAACTCTCCTTTACATTCTTGTACTTTCACGTTATTGGCAATGTAACTACTGCTAATATACTGCAAAACAAGACTTGGAAACTGATAACCAAAATGATATGCAAGGATTTCAAATACAGAGTCATGAATGATGGTGTACTCAGTACCACAGTGTTTTGTGTAAGTCCCATCCATAGCTGCCAATACTTTTACAAATTTAAATGCATCAGTGTTATTTTCAACTTCACAACATTCTAATACTTTTGATTTCATCTCCCAGAAAACAGCGTTTGCAGTGCTTTTCAAATTTTCTTTTGATAGTTTATTGTCATTTAAAATGCACAAGACCAATGTAGCATAGCATAAACTATTTTGCACTTGCATTTTATCAAATTCTTCTATAATACATTCAGCTGGACGGGTAAAGAACCTTTCAACATTCTTGCTAAATTTCTCCACTTTTGAGTATATTTTACACAACAGAGGAAACATACCCAATGTTTCTCCCAGTAATTTAGGGGACAGCAAATCTCTATCCAAGCCGTGTTTCTCAAGGATCGCTTTCTTATCTTCATTGTTCAATGCATTTTCGCAACTATGCATCTTAATTGTGTTTTTTTCATATGAGAAAAATGATTTGTAACATTCATTAAATACTGCTTCCCTACATGACATTAAAACCTTTGTATTCGTATTAAAAGGATCTGAAATTCTTTTTTCATAGTCTATCAATGACTCTAACTTTTGTTTTTGTAGACCTAAAACACCTACCACATCATCAATGACAAAAACCTGTGGATGACGAGAGTCAGAATAATCTTCAATCTTCCTGATGTCTATAATAGGTACAACCTCGCATCCTTCTTCCCGGAGTATCAGGGCTATGTGATGAATCGTTGCTGATTTTCCTGAGCCTGGGACACCAACAAATGTCATGTAAGGTTGCTCTCTGACTTTGTCCAACATTGCAGAGAAACCGTGGCTTTCACTGTAAACCCCATCCTCCTCTTTCCATCGTTTGAACTCTTTTTCAAAAATATCTAAAATAGTTACAGCGAGTTATTTTTATGATTATCTTGTCGAAGATATAATTACCCGGTTGTCAAAGTAATTAAACGTTTTACACATGAAAAAGAAGCAAATGCCTAGTAAAGTACGGTGAACATGCCTATATTGATTTAAAAAGATATAAATTGGGAAAATATGAAGTTTCTTACCGCATAGTAACCGTTACCTGTTTCTCACAAATTGAGAAGTTACTTACAATTTTACACATATTTTTTAAGATTATTTATTTTGATATCATTTATCAACAAGAGGCCCATGGGCCACATCGCTCACTTGGGTGATGCAGTTTTTTACCAGATTCCCCCATTTGCTATACCTATCTTGCCCACTGCTCCCTTCCCTTTTATGATTTTAAAACTTTACAATCTACACTACCCCAGGATACTTTCACATAAGCTTCAGCTTTCGTCGCCCCGTGGTTCTTGAGAAGAAGATTTTTAAAGATTTGTTCTATATATTTCTAAGAAAAACTTGGATTCCCTATTGTGGCCCCGCCCTACCCCCGGGGTCATGATTTTAACAATTTAATATCTACAATACCCAAGGATGCTTCCACATTAGCTTCAGCTTTCCTGGCCCCGTGGTTCATGAGAAGAAGATTTTTACAGATTTGTTCTATATATTTCTATGTAAAACTTGAATTCCCTATTTTGGCCCCGCCCTACCCCCGGGGATCATGATTTTAACAATTTAATATCTACACTACCCCAGGATGATTCCATATAAGTTTCAGCTTTTGAGGCCCGGTGGTTCTTGAGAAGAAGGTTTTTAAAGATTTGTTCTATATATTTCTATGTAAAACTTGGATTTCCTATCGTGGCCCCGCCCTACCCCAGGGGGTCATGATTTCAACAATTTAATATATACACTACCCAAAGATGATTCCACATAAGCTTCAGCTTTCCTGGCCTTGTGGTTCTTAAGAGGAGGATTTTTAAAGATTTGTTCTATATATTTCTAAGAAAAACTTGGATTCCCTATTGTGGCCCCGCCCTACCCCCGGGGGTCATGATTTTAACAATTTAATATCTACACTACCCAAGGATGCTTCCACATAAGTTTCAGCTTTCCTGGCCTTGTGGTTCTTGAGAAGAAGATTTTTAAAGATTTGTTCTATATATTTCTATGTAAAACTTGGATTCCCTATTGTGGCCCCGCCCTATCCCCGGGGGTCATGATTTTAACAATTTAATATCTACACTACCCAAGGATGCTTCCACATAAGCTTCAGCTTTCCTGGCTTTGTGGTTCTTGAGAAGAAGGTTTTTAAAGATCTGTTCTATATATTTCTATATAAAACTTGGATTCCCTATTGTGGCCCCGCCCTACCCCCGGGGGTCATGGTTTTAACAATTTAATATCTAAACTACCCAAGGATGATTCCACATAAGCTTCAGCTTTCCTGGCCTTGTGGTTCTTAAGAGGAGGATTTTTAAAGATTTGTTCTATATATTTCTAAGAAAAACTTGGATTCCCTATTGTGGCCCCGCCCTACCCCCGGGGGTCATGATTTTAACAATTTAATATCTACACTACCCAAGGATGCTTCCATATAAGTTTCAGCTTTCCTGGCCTTGTGGTTGTTGAGAAGAAGATTTTTAAAGATTTGTTCTATATATTTCTATGTAAAACTTGGATTCCCTATTGTGGCCCCGCCCTACCCCCGGGGGTCATGATTTTAACAATTTAATATCTACACTACCCAAGGATGCTTCCACATAAGCTTCACCTTTCCTGGCTTTGTGGTTCTTGAGAAGAAGATTTTTAAAGATTTGTTCTATATATTTCTAAGAAAAACTTGGATTCCCTATTGTGGCCCCGCCCTACGCCCCGAGGGTCATGATTTTAACAATTTAATATATACACTACCCAAGGATGCTTCCACATAAGTTTCAGCTTTCCTGGCCTTGTGGTTCTTGAGAAGAAGATTTTTAAAGATGTGTTCTATATATTTCTATGTAAAACTTGGATTCCCTATTGTGGCCCCGCCCTACCCCCGGGGGTCATGATTTTAACAAAAGAATATAAACACTACACAAGGATGCTTCCACATAAGCTTCAGCTTTCCTGGCCTTGTGGTTCTTGAGAAGAAGCTTTTTAAAGATTTGTTCTATATATTTCTAAGAAAAACTTGGATTCCCTATTGTGGCCCCGCCCTACCCCCGGGGGTCATGATTTTAACAATTTAATATATACACTACCCAAGGATGCTTACACATAAGCTTCAGCTTTCCTGGCCTTGTGGTTCTTGAGAAGAAGATTTTCAAAGATTTGTTCTATATATTTCTAAGAAAAACTTGGATTCCCTATTGTGGCCCCGCCCTACCCCCGCGGGTTATGATTTTAACAATTTAATATCTACACTACACAAGGATGCTTCCATATAAGCTTCAGTTTTCCTGGCCTTGTGGTTCTTGAGAAGAAGATTTTCAAAGATTTGTTCTATATATTTCAAAAAAAAACTACTAATCACAAAAGTGGCCCCGCCCTACCCCCGGGGGTCATAATTTTAACAATTTAATATCTACACTACCCAAGGATGCTTCCACATAAGTTTCAGCTTTCCTGGCCTTGTGGTTCTTGAGAAGAAGATTTTACAGATTTGTTCTATATATTTCTATGTAAAACTTGGATTCCCTATTGTGGCCCCGCCCTACACCCAGGGGTCATGATTTTATCAATTTAATATCTACACTACCCGAGGATGCTTCCACATAAGTTTCAGCTTTCCTGGCCCAGTGGTTCTTGAGAAGAAGATTTTTTAGTGACCCCACCCTATTTTTGTCTTTTCTTGATTATCTCCCCTTGTAAGGGGACTTGGCCCTTCATTTTAACAATTTAAACTTTCCTTCACCCAAGGATGCTTTGTACCAGGTTTGGTTAAAATTGGCCCATTGGTTCTTGAGAAGAAGTCGAAAATGTGAAAAGTTTACAGACGGACGGACGGACAGCTGGACGGACGGACGGACGAACGGACGACGGACAACGGGTGATCAGAAAAGCTCACCTGAGCTTTCAGCTCAGGTGAGCTAAAATGTGTTGTTGAACGCTTCTGAAAATAAGTTTGCAGGATAGAATTTGAAGAAACACTGCAATTTATGGATTTCTGAAGAATTCTTCTTTTTCTTTTTGTCGAACTTAACCTAATTTTCAAAATTTTGTTTTTTAAATTGATAAAACATTATATGTTGAAAATATCCATATTTTTTGTTTACACCATATTATTTATGATATTTTTTAAAATTTATTGTTAATTCATTGATGTAAAGTTCATAATATCGGTAAAATAATTGGATTTCTGAATGTTCTATCTGATATGCATTCCTTCTACAATGGTTCGCTACCGATATACCGAGTTACTCCCCGTTACTCCGCTCTTCAGTATCGCTGGGTAGTTCCGGTTTGATTGGCTCTGCTGTAAACAAACTACGCCGCTACTTTCAGTGTATTCAGTTACATATAACGAATTATATGGTAAAGAAAGTTTGAGTATGATTATTAAAAGGTGTAACAATAAGGCAAGATGCAAAAGAATACACATCAAATGTATTTTTCAAACCTCATTGGCAAGAAATTCTGAATTTGGAGAAATAAAAACCTTACGTATGTTTGTGTAAAATCGGTGCTCGGGGAATTCCAAATTTAAAAATAGAAGTTGTTAAATGATACATGTATGTGTAATCGGCTGCAATTCTTTTAAATTTAATAAGATTTAAATTAATAAATTAAATATTTTATACAGTGATGCGTATACATTTTTAGCTATTATAAATAGTAGTACTATTAAACCTCATCAAAACAAATTGTCATTGTGTGATGTTATTACTTTTGGTCAATCTATGTATGGGTGGTGGACGTCGATATTGCGTATTGTGTTCACACTACCAGGGCCAAGTCACTGAAAACAATGAAAAAATTACCTTGCACAGAATTCCAGCAGGTTCAAGTGAAAGTGATAAGAAAAGAAGGGAAAGCTGGGTTCAGCGCATCAGATTCATTCGCCCAAATGCTCCTATCACAGACAATACTAGAATATGCAATTTACATTTTGATAATAACATCTGTACTAAATCATCAGTGCCTACTAAACTGAACCTAAAATATGCAAAAACAGAAACTCAACGTAGACCCCTGTTGCGGATATCTCCAGTAAATAAAACTTTACCACCAATTAAGGAAGATGAAAACCATGATCCTGATACACAACATGAACAAATAAATGTAAATACAAGTATATCTAGCAGCAGCTGTGAAGCTCAAATACAGGTTGGTTCATCAGATGTTAGATTAACATGTACTGCTGAAATCCAAGCTCAGTTTCCATTGATGAAACCTGAAGATATATTCCAAAATGATGACTAAACTAGATTTTACACTGGTTTTCCGAATTACAAGACATTTAAATTAATGTTTGATGTACTAATGAAACATGGTGGAGATAGACTAACATATTGGGAAGGGGAATTGCGTTCTATAGATGGTGATAATAGGAAGTACAATGACCCAAATTTTTTTAAACCTGGAAGGAAAAGAAAATTGAGACCCATCGATGAATTTTATATGGTTTGTCTAAGGCTAAGACTAGGCATGTTACAGGAACATTTGGCCGATATGTTTTTTGTATCAGTCATGACTGTTCCAAGAATTATAAATACTTGGTTAAATTTCTTGTATGACCATTACAAGGGGATGATACCTTGGCCAACAAGGGAACAAATTTTAGCAAATTTACCAAAGGCATTTGTTGAAATGCAAACTGTGAGAATTGTTATTGATGCCACAGAGTTTTTTTTGTGAAAAACCAGGAAATTTGACAGCACAATATTTAACTTGGAGTGAGTACAAACACCACAACACATTTAAAGTATTAATAGGTGTTGCGCCAAATGGTTTAGTTACATTTGTGTCGAGAGTATGGGGTGGTCACACATCTGATCATCATATTGTGCAGAAAGATGGAGACTTACTACTA